TGGAGTTTTAATTTCTTTCTAGATTTGCCCCCAGAGGCACAAAGCTGTGTTTGGAAAACGTCAGCTCCATCTCCCCAGCCCCTTTGTCATGCTGGGGCAGCTCGAGCTGAAAGCACAAACCACAGCCCACCCATGGGGACGTGCCGCCCTGCTACTACTTAACTGCTTCAAAGTACCTGTCTGTGATATGAAACATGCTGTAAAATGAATATATTCCAGATGTCCCTGAAAATTCCCCTCAGCTTCGCCATCCACCTGAAGGCGGCTGACGCACTGAGGCTCCTTGGTGCCTGCTGCCTTGCTCGCTGCCTGAAGGAACAGGACGGTGGCTCATTTGGGGTTGCAAATTGAGGGGGTGGCCATCACCAGACCAGGGTGATGTGCCCAGGTCCTGCCCAGTTCAGTGTGGGGTGAAGGATGCAGCCAGTGAGGGGTGAATGCTCTTCTTGGGATTGGGGAAGGGGGAGGGGGTCTTCATCCTTGGTTTTTGGGGGAAACTGGAGGGGATCTCTCCTTGGAAAGTCTCCATTCTTAGGTTGAGGAATCTCCATCCTTGGAGTTAGGAGAATCTCCTCAGGATTGTGAGGGTCCTTGAGTTTTGGGCACCCACATCCTTGGAGGGGATCCTTGTACTTTTGGCTAGGAGGATCTCCATCCTCAAGGTTTGGGGGGTCTCCTTCCTCAGGCTTTTGACATCTCCACCTTTGGGGTTGAGGGATCCCCTTCCTTAAGGCTGGGGGGATTCTCATCCGTGGAGTTAGGAGGATCTTCAAGGATCTTCATCCTTGGGATTAGGAGTATCTCTGCCCTTGTGTTTTGTGGAACTCCATCCTTGAGGCTGGGACATCTTCACCTTCAGAGTTGGGGGTTCTCCGTCTTTGGGTTATGGGGGTCTTCTCCCTTGAGTTTGGGGAGGAGTCTTCATCCTTAGAGTTGGTAGATCTCCATCCTTGGGGATGAGGACTCTCCATCCTTGAAGGTTCTCCATCCTCAGGGTTGGGGGATTTCCATGCATTGAGGATCTCTGCCCATGGAGGGAGGACCTCCATTCTCCATCCTAGATGAAGCCAGGACCCACAGCCTCCTCCGTACCACAACACCCCCCTGCGTAAGAGCCATGGGAGGTCTAGCTAGGCTCATACCTTGGACAACTGCAGGTTGGGATGATGGGAACCTTCCTACCTTTCAGCCAGCTCAGCAAACTTGACATTAACTTACTTCAAAGTTCCACAGAAAACATGTCATGGTGTGTGTTTGCTGTTGCATAGGGCGTTTCCAGGACACATGGGCAGCAGTTTCTTTGATACACTCCGTATAAGGTCGTGGTTGGCAGGGAGGACCCTAGAAAAGCTGGAATAACTACAGGGAGAAGGCGATGAAATAGGTACAAAAGCTAAAAATTACTATTCATCGCTAATATGTTGCATAGCACTAATTAATTTTTAAACAGCCTCACTGGGGACCTCATTGCTAAAACATGATGTTTTCTCCTCCGGCACCATAACTGTTAACTCAAAACAAAGCAGAAGAAAGCCAGAAAGGATGAGGAACTGCAACGTCCATCAGACAGCATCCAAGCTGCCTGCTTGGAGGGGATTTCTCTGATGGCCAAATCCTGCCACTGTGCCTGGGGGGGATGCTCTGTTACACCCCTCTGAGGGGATTTTTGTGGGGGGTGGGGAGTCCAATCCAGCTTGCCCGGAGTGCAGAAATGTCGCCTGAGCTATGAGCACACTGGGAGCAAGGGGAAAAGCTATTTTCAGCTCTGCTCTCACCTGTCTCACTTTACCCGAGCATGGCTTTCCTGAATATTTTTAGCCATGTTTTATTACCAGTCTTGCAAGCCTCAAACTGGGGGGATTATTACCATTGCACTCACTCACACATAAGTTATTTAATTGAGTCTTTGGGAGTGCTAAGAACAGACTTTCCTCAACATTTTCATTGTCGCTGACATCTAGATCAACACCCAAATATATTTATTTGACATCTCCCATCACATGATATATGGAGTATTGCTCCTAAAATGGCAAGAGCTTTATCTTTCATTTATATTTAATTGTTCTTTAATTATTTGGACACTTCTTGCCACCACCCTGAGTCCACCTATTAATTCCAGCCTTTTAAGTTTCAGCTTTTTTTTTAAAAAAGAGGAATTTAACAAGGTTCTGCAAAGCTATTTTTAAAAAAGTTAAGCTCAGTGGTTTTATTTGCACCTCCCTGATTACCTTTTTATTTTTAAATTAGGGAATTTGGTGGCTTGGGGCAAATCTTCCCTGCTGTTCTCTGGGGCTGATGGTACCTGGATCTGGCCTGAACCAGGTTGAGTGTAAAAAATTACAATTGCACCATAGCAATGATTTTTTTTTTTGCTCTTGGGGAGAGGCTTTGCTGCGTGCCGGTAGCAACCCTGGGGTCACCAAGGGCTGCGACCAAGGGGAGCACGTGCACGCCCCCAGACGGGGCGATTTCTGTTTCCATATGGAAAAGGGATGTGGCATCTGGTTTCACTTCCAGCAGCTGGCAGCTTGAAGCCTGTGTTTTGCATGGTGCGGAGTAAAGAGAAAATAAAGTGTCGAATTGTTTGGCATTATCAAGGATTTCTGCTCCCCAGGACTCCTGCATAAAGAGATGGAAATTTTAGCTGCTGGAGCCAAGAAACACACAGAAGTATATGAATTTATTACATTTTATCTCATTCTCCTGCAAACAGCGCTGGAAATGTCAAAAGATCATCCATTGTTTCATCGTTTAGAAAGAATTTTTTGTTTTTTAGTTGTAATTTCTTTGATGCCTGGCCGTGGGGAAGGAAGAGAAATTGGTGCAGGAGATTGCAGGGCTGCAGCAGGTTGAACGTGCAGGTTTGTCTGGCCGCGGAGCTACATGCATTTAAATTTCTCACATCCCGGGTTTTTAATTTAACAAATGTAATTAAGGCTGGGGTAGGTACTCGGATTATTCATTTACTCCAGATGGAAAAAATTAAATTGAATGCAAATTCCGTAATCAGACATGAAGTTGAGGATGTTGGACGTGATGGGGAAGTGTCAGCACATTAATGGGACCGCTTTCCCTAAACAGCACCCAAATCTAAGAGCCAGGGATTATTTGAATAATTGAGGTGGCATTTGATAAGATATCTGATTGCTGATATCTCCTTAAGACGGAGCCCTAATTGTAATTCTCCATCAGGAAGGATTAATCTGCGTAACAGGGTGCGCTGGGAATAGTGTGGTGTCAGGCTGCCTCCCTTGAATTTTGGTCTTTTATTGAGGGCTGCCATGCCCAGGGAGGGTGCCAAAGTGATTTATCGCTTCTCCTGTTACTTTATATGTGAGCCAGGAGGTTGTCAGGTATCACAGCTTGGCCCCGAGGGCCCAGCAGCCTCCAGTGTCGAGTGTGTATTTTGGAGGTGCCTCTGATCATCAGAGAAGGCTGCACTGTTGCATGTGTGTCGCTTCTGAGTGTCTTCAGGCCACAATTCAGGGCACCCTTTTCCCTCTAAAAAGGAGATGAACTGTCTCAACTTCAGCAGACTTTGTTGGAGGACCATGACTCCATCCACAGCATTGGTCATCTGATGGGACCCAGCCTTGATGCTCTTGGAAGGGCCGTTAAGGGTCGATGGATGTTGACTCCCAACTCAATCTTGGCTGGGGTAGCAAGGGAAGTTTCCACTCGATCTGGCAGCAGACGCTTGGTTGTAATCATAGAGAGCTTTTCTTGCATTTCCAGAGCATTTATGCATTCCCACAGGAGAAATAACATTTCCGTGGAGTCCTTTTCACTGCCAGCACTGTTGGTTCCTTTTGAAACCAGGCATGACGAGGTGGGGAGATGGGGATGGGCTTTGCTTCTTACATCTCACAGCTTGGGGATATTAGAAAGGATTTGAAGTGGTGAAAATGCCAATTAAAAAAAAAAAAATCTATCCATGTTGAAGATCCAAACTTGTAAACAAATAGTCGTCATGGTCTTTCTTTTTCACCTCCTCTATCTAGCAGCAATTGAAAAAATAAAAGGGAAAAAGAGATGAAAGGGGGCAAAGGGATAAAGCTTGAAAGATTTTTTTTTTTTGTAAGAGTGTGAATATTTTGAAAAAATATGTAAATATAATATGAAAAAGAAGTGTATTGTGGAAAAAGTATCCATGAGCCCTACTGCAATCATTGGGTTGCCCAGCAGTGAAGACGACAGATTATATTTTTCCTGTCTCTAAAGTAAAGCCAAATGCAGAGACTTCTTGTTTTTTCTTTTTTGTCCTACCATCCCACCTCCTCCTGTGGCTGTGTGCTAATAGCCACTTCTGCTAAATGGGTGCACTAATCCTCTCGGTGATGTGATTTTAGCCAAGCTCTGAGCTGTGCACTCAGAAAGGCAAGATTTCCCCTCAAAAAAACCCCAACTTAAATCACTTGAGATAAGTTGGGTGTTATCTTATGGTTGCAAATTGCTTGTTTGCTCCTCCAGCTGGAGCTGTTAATTCAGAACAATTAACGCGCCGTTTAAAATGGAGAGGAAGCATATGGAGGCGGTCCCAGGGAAAAGAGCCTGTTTGGGATGGAGAGCCCCAGCATTTGCAAAATCAGATAACTCCAGTTTGTCTTTCTTTGGAGATCCTGGCAGGCATTGTGGGGAACAACACAAATACTGGGGAGTTTATCCCCAAAAAACCTCTGTTGAACACTAAGTTGAGTGATGCTCAAAGCAAGAGCCAGCTAGCGATAAAGTGCTGACATTCATCACTGGGATGAATCCATCGTTGAGAGAGTGCTGTCACCACCCCGTCCATCCTTAAAATATTCCTTCTTGATGAAGAAATAATGAATCCTAAAGTGAATCCTAGAGTAATGCCTAGTTATTTTCATGAGCCCCCTTTTCAGTGCCATGAAATGCTGCTCTGGCTCCATCCATTAAGCCTTTTTGCATCATCATTTCGGATACCTGCCATCTGTTTTCTCAGGTTGCCTTTGTGTTTGTGTGTGTGGTTTTTTTTTAATGCAGGTGAAGAACAAAAGCCTAAATCTGGAAGTAAACCCCAAAATAAACCAGCAGTGGGTGGACTCAACCTGCTTAAAACATTTCTGAGCCAAAGAGCAAAGAGGTGAGCTCCTTGCTTTTGCGCAAGGACATAAAGAACTCTATTAGACTTTTATGGGATGCTGTGTAAAATACTGCAGCAGTGGAAGATGTTGCATTTTTGTAGGTGGTGGTTTATGGATGGTCCATCCCTCCTCCTTCTATTTGTGCCTCTAAGCATCCTTGCATCCATGTATCTGTTGATCCGTGCATCCTTGCATCTATACAGCGATGCATCTGTTCATCTGTGCATGCTTGCATCCATCATTTTTGATCACGTACCTCTGACTATATTTACACGCAAATTTTATTAAAAGCACCCAAGAATGTGTTTTTCACGTGAAAAAAATCCACAAATCCAAATACTTTCCCTTGAGCCTTTACAGGAATCAGCATGGCCCAACATGCAGCAGGTTTTTGCATCCCCTCCAAATGATGGGAAAATGTGCTTTTCTGCTCCAAAGCTGGCACTAGGTTTTTGGTTTTGGGGACCCCTGCAGCGTGAACACCCCAAAACCTGCCTGAGCTGTGAAAGCCAAGCAGGTCGTCTTTAAGAGCTTTTTCTGCAAACCCTTTCCCGTTATTCCCCCATCTGAAGATGGATGGAGGCAGCATCGGCAAATCTGAATAACTAATCAGAGTCCTCATTAACCCCCCGCCGAGATGCTCAAACATTCACTTTACTGTTTGTGAAGCAGGGAAAAAAAAAAAAGGGAAAAGGGAAAAAAAACCCAACAACCTACCCTGCATTAAAATTGATGTGTTATTAATCCCACTGTTCCAGCCCTCATGGGTACCGAGTTTTCCTTCGTCTCGCCTGAGGCCGAACAGTATGGGGCCGCTTCTGCGGGGCACTTTGACTTTCCATTATTTATCGGTGCGGCGTAGCGAGGCTGCTTTTGTTCCCTGGGCCCAGATGTGCACACATGTGCATGTCCGGGGGGGTGGTGTGTCCGATATTTCCATACGTGCCCCCTTTGGATAATGCAAATCGCCTACAGTGGGCCTCCACCGATGGACTCATCTCTTTTGGACCATGTTTTGTGGCAAAATGGCTTTGCTTTCGCAGAAATACAGAAATACTGTTTATGTATGGGCATGTTTTAAATCTTTTCATTGTCTCTGAACAAGGATGGAGTTAGTGCATCACCAGGTTTAACTTGTGGGTCTGGGAAGGTGAAAGGATGAAAATATCATATTGCTCTTTGCCCTTTGACTGTCTCCATCCAGCCTCAGCCCTTACTCAGAGGCTGGAGATGCTACAGAAATTACACTATGGTGGGAAAAAACCCAACAAATCAAAGGTTTTTATTGCAACGGTCCTTATTGCAGATGGCTGTGGGTGTTGCTGAAGTGCTTGGAGAGTCATGATCACACCTTGGAGCTCCTTAGACTGAAGTTTGAGCTTTGCCTTTATACTATTTTTCACTCTTATAGGGTTTCTTTGGTTGTCGCCGTAGGTGTAGAGTCTGGGGCCAGTACAGCTTGCTTCTGGGCAAATAATTCAGCAAAACTCAACAGTGTTATTAGGGATTTCACCATTCACTGTTTCTACTTAAGTCAGAGTAGCTGACATTAAATTTATTAAAAAATCATAGTCACAATTAAAAAGAATTGATATGATGAGGTTGGAAGCGTCATGATCTGCTCACACTGGAAACAAGGTTACAAAGCTTTCTTGCTTTAAAATCCTAGACTTTTTGCAAAAATCCTGGATTTATTTTTTGTTTTCTAAATGTCAGCTTTATTAGCATTCCCTTACACTTAATTAAATCTTTATTGGAGGGATGTTCTTAGCTTTTTGCAGTCTGGGTACAGGCTGTGGTCCCAGGATGCTGGGTTCCCATCTCTGCCATTGGATGTTTTTCAGGTCATGAAGATCGGGATTTAGGGCATTCGGGAGGATTGATCAGGGCATTTGGGGCTATTGATGACTTTTCATTAATGGTGTCTCATTTATTACCCTCAGGCAGCTGCTCCATGCAACCCTGAGTGCCCGGGACACCATGTGTCTGGCTGGCATGTATTGCCTGCGGTGGAGTATCCTGAAGGAGGCCTCTCCTCCGTTCCCTTTTGCATTGGGAGGACTTCAAAGGCCTCTGCTAAACTTCAAAGGATGCCTTTTGAAGCTGCTAAAAGTGTGTGCTGGCTCAGAATGACATCTCCCTCTACCAGGGGCGTTCAGGGACATGTCCCCAGTGGGGTTGGCTCTTGGTACTCTTCGTGATGGGGATGAAAACAGCGTCTTTTGTTCAGAAGCTTCATAAACCCCTATTTTTGTCCTACATGCATACAGCATCCAAGACCTCAGCCGTGATCACCTCCAAGGATGAAAATCAGTCTACCAGAGCTCTTTTATCACTGGCAGAGCCTTATTTATCTGCTCCTTTTCCTCCACTCCTCATGTTTTGTTCACACGGCAAGCCCAGATGACAAAAGTCTCTCCCACGAGATGGAAAAAAAGTCTTTACAGGGATGAAAGATTGCTGCAAAACATGAGCTTTTTCGTCATGTTGTCAGGACAAATCCAATGCAAATGAGGTCCCAGGTCCTTGATGTGTATTTGGTGTCAGCCTGTGCATGCTTTTCCAAGCATGAGCCTGTCGAGTTTTTTTTTTTATTCCTAATAAATAACTGTAAGGATATTTCATCTGCTGTTGTGGTGGAAGAGTTTTGGGCTCAAGGCCCTTCTGAGCATTTAGCGTAACCAAGATTAGGTCTCTCAGCAGGACCTACACTTTCCCAAGAAGTCAAGGGGCATCTTGACCTTTCACCAAGTTTTCCATGTTTGGGGGTTTCTGCCCCGTTTTGCTCTGAAATCACCCAGTTGCTTCCATATCCCTCAGTGGCAGTGGCCTCAGTGACGTCAGGTTTCCAGAAATGACACTTCCTATTCAAGCTTCCCCATATACCTCTGTCTTTTGGACCCATACTCCTGGCTGTGATGATGGATACAGGCTGTGAGGGCACATAAATGTGAGCGTTGTTATTGCCAGGGGCTTGGGATGGAATTAAAACCAGGGGAAATGGTTCTCATGGATCTCCCGTGCGGCCTCACCATGCGAGGCGTAGCTCTCTGCCTGTGACCTGTAGCACCGATGCATCACTCGGGTGTGTGCCTTGGAGACCTGAGGTGATGTGTATCGTGGTAGATATGTCAGATGTATATCGGGGATCTGAGGAGCTCTCTAGAAGTGATGTGTATCTAGAGGTGCATATATCAGGTGTACATTTGAAGCTGAGCAGCTCAGCAGATCAAGGTATATATGTGTATACTAGACAGATAGCAGAAATCTAAGGAGCTCTGTACCAGGTTATATATATCAAGGTAGATATATTGCGTGTATACTGAAGATCTGAGGAGCTCTCTAGAGGTGATACGTATCAGGGGACATATATCATATATATATTGGAGATCTGCGGCTCTCTAGGGGTGATGTTTATCATGCTAGATGTATCAGCTATATAGTGGAGAACTGAGGAGCTCTAGGCAGGTGACATACACCTGAGATGTATACGTCAGATGTGTATCGGTGAGGAGCTGTCTAGAGGTGATTTATATCAAGGTAGATATATCGGATGTATACTGAAGATCTGAGGAGCTCGACAGAGATTATGTGTATCAAGGGACATATATCAGACATATATTGGAGATCTGAGGGGCTCTCTGCCAAGTGATATATATCAAGGTAGATATATCAGGCATATATCGGAGATCTCGGGTGATGTTTATCATCTAACGTAGAGGTAATGTTCTGGAGGTGATGTATATCTAGGGACATTTATCAGATATATAACGGAGATCTGAGGGGCTCACTAGAGGTGATGTACGTTTGGAGATCTGGGGGATTTTCTCTCTTTTATTCCTTTTTTTTTTCAGTCAAACACAAAACACCCCCACGGCCATGCTGATCCTTGCTCAGTTTAGATCTGCTTAGATGGGTCTAGAAATCCCGACCTCAGCCTCCATGAAGGCCGGATCTGTGGTAGATGCAACACCATCTCCACCATCTGTGTGGACTTTTCCCCGTTAAATAATGGCTGGGAGCTCCCTTGTTTTTGAGTTAATGGCTTTTTTGTAGTTCATGCTATCTTAGCCCAAGTATAAAGGCACTTTTACAGTCAAGTGAAGATTATAATTAACCAGGGGGATGGCAACAGCCAGTGTGAAATGGGAGCATGGCCAATGGCAATGCTGTTTCATTGCTTTTTCCCTTTTTTCTCCTTTTCAGACCCAGATTGTACCGCTAACCCTCAGTAAGATCCTGTGCCGGGGATTTGTCACTCTCCAGGAGCCGACAAGGGCAGGACGGGACTGCATCACCCTTCATCCTCTGCAGATAGACTGGCAACGAACACGCCTTCATTTTCCGGACGCATCTCGGTTCGACCTCTAAAACTCTTGATTTATTTTTTGTCCTTGGGAGATGTTCAAACCTGCCTGGGCAAAACCCTGGTCTGATCTAGCGCAGCCATAAGTCCTGCCTTCACCTCCAAGGGGATATTCCTACCTAACTTTTCTTTGATTCCTATTTCCCCACTATCCTGCAAAAAAAGTGCATTAAGATTGGACTTGCCCACCACGGCTTTGCTGACACTGCCGAAAGACCTTCCCTAGTGCAGAAAGCTTCATCCTCTGCTTAATATTTTGCCTTCTTGTTTCATCATTTTCTCTAAATATTCAAATATTTCATCCTTTGGTTTCCCAGATTGTGATCCCTCCCCCAGAAAATCTTGGTTTTGGGGCAGCAGAAAGACACTTGCAGGGCAGTGGCTCCCTGAGCACCCCCCAAACGGTAAGGCTGTTTCACTTTATATTAAATAGGCAATTATATATGTTAATTGCACAATTAAATATAGTAATCAAGTGGGATGTGGTGAGTCTTGACCTTAGTGAGGCTTTATTTGGGGGAATTTCTGCTCTTTTTCGGATGCACCTGAATTATATCCCTTCTTTTCTGAATGCAGTGAGCATTTAGAGGGGAATTATAGTGTTTTTGCTGTGTTTTCCTTTGTTTTTTAGAAATCAGGCTGTGGAGGGAATCTTGCTTTAAAGTGCAAGTATTGAAAACATGTTGTTATGAGCCCTACAAGCCATGGCCAGCCTGGAGAAAAACACAGATATATTTTTGTACAAATACCCTGAAATATGGGCTGCTATCACTGCAAAATTTTGGCACATCAGTAGGAAGTGGAGAAATGGTCACCAGCTAAAAATAACTGAAACATGGAGCTTAAAATAAGATGTACATGAAACCAAGGGTCTCGCAGTCCTTCAGTCAACCCTGATCGCTAAAATTAGGGCTTGACAGAGTGACAAATATGCTTGATCTGTGCCAAAACTGTAGGCATTCAGCAGGTGACAAAGAAAATAAAACCCTGTTGGCTGCAACTTTCCTCCTAAAGGAGCAAAGAGAAATCTTTGGTCACTGAAAATGGAGGTGCTGCCTTCAATTAGTACAAATTAGTGCATCCTGAAAAAGTGCCTTATTTCTTCCTAAAAGTGATATTTAGGGTGGGGGCATCTCCGGGGAAAACCCAGAAGCTTCATTTGGTCCATGGCACAGCAGCGCATCTTTTCTTTGAGTCTTGTCTTTTGAGTCTTGCCTCCTCTGAAAGTCCCTTTTAATAAACAGCAGCCAATAACAGCAGGATTATTTCCCCTAGGCTGCCCTTTCAGCCCTGATTCTTGCTGGTGACCTTCCCTCAGCCAAAAACCACCAGGATTAAAGATGTGATGAAGCAGCTGAATTTCTCATTAGTCTTCTTTTGCCTCCTTTCTAATAAAGGTACAGGTTGGGTTCACGTTGAAATGACTTTTCTGGTGGGTTTGTGGGGACTTGGGATCACCACAAGGACCTCTTTTTGGGGAGATTCTCCCTGCCTTGATGCCCTCTTCCCAATCCGTATTTTGATGTGTGTCGTCAGATGCCTTGGTGCTTGTGTGCAAGGGCTTGGTGCCTCGCGATGTTCTTTGGACACAATGGGTTTTCCTCCTCTTGGAAGAAACTGAGCCTGTGGAGGACAGAAGCACATATCTGTGGAGGACACAAGTGCAACCTGGCCTGGGAAGCACCTCCAGCAAGAAGACCGAACCCAATCTTTTTAGCAAATTGTTCCAACAAGGTCCAGACACCTCCCACTAAAGGCACAGGAAGACGTGATGATGAGTGTCCTAATTACCTTCTGGGACAGAAGGCTGGCATTGCCCTAAGTGGTTGATGATAGAAACTATCTATCCTGAAGGCATCTTCTGGAAAGAACTTGGTTTCCCTTGGCCTTTTCCACCTTGTATGTGGATCCCCACATTTTCTAGGCAAAACCCTCCATTTTGGCTTTCCTCCTCCGGAAGCCCGTATGTCCGCAGAGGTGAACCTCCAAGGCCGGGTTGTACCTTTTGTCACTGCAAAAAAAGTGGCAAAAAAAATTGGCACATCTGTCTCACACGGTAACCACTTCTGTCCTTTTCTGTCCCCGGTTTCCTCATTGTGTTGAGTTCAGACCAGGCTGAATGTATCTTAGGGTCTACCATTCAGAGTAAATGGAGAAGACAGTATCATTAAGCATAATTAAAGGACTTCAAGACTATTTGTAACTCCCTAGATAGCTGGAGCTTGTATAAATCTGCATCACATCTCAAACCTCTCTTTTGCCATACGGGCTGGAAATATGGCCAAAAAATTGCTTTCAAATGAGCAAGTGAAAGATATTTAAATTGAGGCAATTAATCTAGTGGCTGACATCACAGTCTTTGGTGTCTTGGCTCAGGTTGGATGGGGACAACTCTCTGCCAGGATGCCTCAAGCAAAACCATAGTTTTGTGTTCTGGTTTGTAGAGTCATTTCTCATTGGGAATTTCACATTTTAAAAGGAAATTCAGGGGGGAAGTAAGACCAGGAGGAGCCAGAGAGCTGCAAGAAACGGATGCGAAGTGGAAACTCAGCGAGTCAGGAGCTCTGATTTATCTGCCATATGGGAAAGAGGAAAACAACCAGCTCCAGAGGGATTTATTTCCCTCTCCCAAAGGGAAAATTTGCAAGCGTGATAGCAGGATATAGCAAGAAATGAGGCAGATTTAAGGGAAGAGAGGGTTTTTATTAGGTGTGCTGCAGCATCGCTCTGTTTTCAGGGCTTTTCCACAGGTGGGAAAATCTTTGCACGCTCCTGTGCACATCTTGCTCATGTTTCTGCAGTTGGGTTAGGTCTGCTGGTTTTAGCCCAATTTCTGCAAGCCCACCCAAAATCAGGTTTCCATTTAGACTGATTTCTGCAAGTTCACCAAAAAACAGGTTTCTATTTGTGTTTACATGGCCTAATTACTTGTGCAGGTGTTGGGAGATTTGCACAGAGCCTGTGGGCTTTGATTTGCAAAATAAACACCCCCAAAAAGCATTATTAAAAATTGCAAAGTTGCTAGTGGGGTGTTTATGGGCTGTTGCAAAAAGTCATGGCATAGTTTGTGGTGGGAGCTTTGCTGGAACCATTGGCACATGTCTACGTTGAGTTTGTGGGTGGGTTTTGCACCGGCGTTGGTCTGATCTGCGCTTTGCAGTGCTTGTGCTGGCTGAGAAATTGGTGAAGGGCTGCAGTCGTCAGTTTGGGATGGAAAAATGTGGCTGATGGTTAAATTTTTGCTGAGCAAGACTGGTTTTGACCGTGTTCCTTCTTGGCTGCCTGTCCTCAAAGCAACAGCTCTGATGTCACCTTTGCTGGTGGGACAGAAGACATATAAAAATCACAAATCTCCCCATTTACAAGCTCCTTGTTCATCTTAGAACCATACCTAAGTCTCTTTTCCTAACCCATCTCTCCAATATCCATCATGTTTATTTGACATCATCTTCTTTGTCCTCCAGGAAGCTCCTCTGGGGATGGAGCCTTCCCATTGCAGGACTGGCGCGGGGTTGAGATTTGGTGGTTTTGCGTGATGGAAATGGGGGTGCTCAGCAGTTCCTCTCCCATGGGTTTAGCAGGTTGCAATTGAAAACGAAGAGCACAAGGCAAGGTTTGAAAGCATCGAGCAAGATTTTGATCATAAATTTTTCACAGTTAATTGCTCACAGCGGAGAACTTGTGGAAAATTAATCCGCTCCCTATTTTCTGCAAGCACTCTGAAGGCAACCAGAAACTTTTCCTGGACAATTTGTGTCCGGCAAGAGGAAGCTTGTGCATTTTTTGGGTTCCTCAGCTACGTTTCACTTCAAAGCTTTTTGATTTGCCCTCTGAAAAAATTCACAATTTGCTCTTTTGGGAACTTCTGTTGGGCTGGGGGCTGGATTGCACAAAATGCAAGTATTTTCAGGTTACTTTGAAGAAGCTTCTTTGATGTTTCCCTGTGCCAGTTTGGTTTGGAAGGTGCTTTAATGGTCTCCCTCTATAAAAATAACACTTTAAAATGTATGTAGGTATCTCAGCTCTCCACTTAAAAAAAATAGTACAAAGTTGTTTAATGCTGCCATTCAAGGTACATTAACCTTGTCTACTAAAGCTCTGACTGGCTCTTGCAGGTTTTATTCTCGTGTTTATGTTGCAGAGATGTCCCTGGAGCCTTTTAGGGATGGGTATCTTCGGAGAGGAGAGAAATATTTAGCAGTAATTGTTGCTCTCATTAGAAATTCATTATAGCAGCTCCCCCCTTTCTATGGAGGTGAAGTTGGGAGGAGGATTTGCAGATATTAAATAAATAAATGCGAATATTAAATAAATAAATGCTGTTTACCTCCACACCCAGGGGAAATGTCCCATCCAGTGACAAACCAAACCAGTGCTTGGCAAGGGTTTTTTGGCATTGTCTGACATGACGTTTCCCTCTCCTTTACTCCAGTGTTTTTTTTTACTTACTCGAGTGCTTTTTTAGGAGAAAAGTAGAAAAGGAGTTTGTTCTGCTCCAGGGTTTATCCTGCAGAAATATCGAATCTCCCTCTGCTTTAGCCCATGGTTAGCAGGAGCACAGACTCAATTTGTCCTTTTTGATCAGGAAATATCTTGATAACTTGATGCTGGGCAGGGCATGAAGGTCAGCATTTAGGGAATCAGTATCTTGGTGGAGAGCAAAGGATGCTCCCAGTGAAAACCCCTCCTGGATTTGGATAGAGGAAATTTGTCTACCAAATATTCCTAAAAAAAATTAAAAATATTCAGTGGTGCAGTGGTATTTCTTGCGCACATACTCCATATATCCTCAGATGAGTTGTCACACAATCCCGCTTGAATTGGAACGAGAGGAATGACCAAGAATGGGTGATGTCTTGAAAAGTGGGATTATTCCCCATTTTCAACCATTGAATGGCATTCAGTTTATTTTTAATGAGCTCAGAGTGGCATAAGGGGGTTCCTTTAATAGCTAGTGAAAACCTGGTGTTTGTCTTCCAGGGTAACGGGTGAATTTTGGTAAAAAACAAGCAAAAAGGGTGAGGGTTGGTGGATAGAAATGAGACATTCAAGAGTGAGAGGGTCGCTCTCGTTTCACTTTATGGCCAATGGAGAGTCAGCATCACCCGCCGAGGGTGAACCCGTCCTTGCTGGTGGTTCAGAGCAAGATGTATCGTCCTCTGGAGGTGCCTCTCCCTTCCCCCTCAGCTATATTTCTTCATTTTAACTTAGATATATGCATATAATGAATGCATATATCATAAACTTCAGCATGCACAAGCCCTCTGTGAGGACTTAAAGAACTTAAAGCCTGCTGGAGGGAACATGAGTAACACAGCATCATTGCAAATCTCAGAAAACCCCCCAAAATACTCTTTAGAAAAGGCAATCTTCCCTTAATACAGAAAAATACCTTCCTGTGGCCAGAAAAACATCCTCAAGTGTCTTTAATAATTTTGAAACTTTGGGTAGAGAAAAGGAAATGCCTGAAGAGTTGATTTTCTGATTTCTCACGTTGAATCCTCCGTTAACAATTGCATGTTTTGCTGCGGGGGAGAAGCTGCTGAATGAACCAGAAAAAACAATCCCCATTTTGCCATTGATTTGAAAACAACAGTTGCACCTTGCAAAGCTAATATTAACATTATCCACTGAAAACGCTAACGTGGAGTCCAACAATGTGATTCTTCTTTTTGCATTCAGCTGTACTTCTAATAGGGTTTTACACCTGTTTTATTAATTGAGGAGGTTGTATTCACCTGGGGGTGGTGGACAACTGTTTGCAATACTTTGATTTTTTTAAATAAGGCATCAGTGACCACACTGGAAGAAAAAAACAAACCCCAACGAAAAACCCCACAACTTCCCAACCCAGTCTTTAATTATTTTTATTTGAAAGAGGAGGTAATATATTGCTGGCAAAAAGGCAGCCTATAAATCTGAGACTCTTAGGTAGACACAACCTCTTTGGGAAATACATTTTCAACTTAATGGCAGTATTTCAGTGATAGCTGAAATAATTTTATTTCATAAGGAAATTTGGGATACTTTGATCTCAGGTTGCTGCCAAAAATCTGAAGTACTGCTGCTTCCGGAAATTAAAGAGCCTTTATGGGTTTTATTGCTCACCATTTTTTTCCTCTGTGCAAATGCCCCAGGAGTTGACTGAAATTCCTGAGCTCCTCAACTTTCGTCCCCCCAAAATTCACTCTTCGCCCAAGATTTGATCATTGCCTCATGTGAGGGGTTGGCAGGTTTTGGTGAAGCTCTGCTTGTTTCAGCATCTGGATGCCTATGGTCAAGAGGTCATGAGGCTAAATTGATTTAAGAGGTGTGAAATAAAAAAGGATTAATGAGTAAAAAAATATTAAAAATCAAAAAGGATTCCTGCATAAAATGGCAGATTTTGACCCTTTGCTGCCAATAAATCCATAGGGCTGACAACTTCGCACCATTATCCTGAGATTCATGGCTGGGGGCTCCTGCGTGAAACACCCGTCCAGCTTTTCCCGTGGGCACCAGGCGCTTCCCTGGATATTTACGGCGCCCGAGTGCATTTGTTTCCCCCGAGATAAATATACTGCTATCGGCAACAGCTGTCTCTCATTTTTATCCTTTTTTTTTTTTTTTTTTTTTAAATTTGGCTATAAGTCCTATTCTCCAAACAAATCAGCGCCCATAAAGCCTCAATGAATGGCTTGATTTTAGCAGGTTAGATGATATTCAGCAATTAAGTTGGGCTCCGGACTGCCACCTTCTGGGAATATATTCAGCTGAAAAGCTTGCACCCCACAATAAATCGCTGCACGCTAGAGGTTGATTTGCTCCTGGCATGAACAATAGATGCCAAGCAGGGTTTTTTGTCCCAAAATAGCAATCTCTTTATTTTTTTTAGCTTCCCACTGAGATGTCTAGACCGTCACGGTGCTGAATTCTGCTTTTCTCCAGCTGTAGCTATTTCTGGTGGAGAGATTTCCCCTTGGTGTTACCCCTTGAGGACGTGCCTGCAGCTGTGAGCCGAGTTTTGACATCGGACACCGAAGATTTTAAGCCGCAAGTTCACTCAAGAGCAGATAATTTTGCCTCCTGCTATTTTGCCGTTGGGGAAAAAAGATGAAAAGCATTGATTTAATCCCATAAATGCAATATCCTTCTCACTGCAAGAGGTCTGTGTCATCCAAGGACCCCAGTCTGCCTTCCCAGTCCACAGGATTTTGGGTGTGCTCTCTTAATACTCAATTCATGGGTCCTCCATACTAGTGTAAAGTTAAAAAAAATAATATTTATTCATGCAAAATAATGAGTGGCTTATCTTGTGTACACAGCACTTGGCTTTCCATGTGGGCTCAGTGCATGTATTCTCTTGGTGCTTGGTGGTGCCTGTATAGCCCAAAGCCTCATGGAGAAGATCAGAATATCACAAATCTTCCCTCAAACAACCGTGGACCTCACAGAGAAAACTAGAATACTGCAGATCTTCCCCCAAACAACTGTGAACCTCATGGAGAAGACCAGAATATTGTGGATCTTCCCAAAACCACTGTGGAGAGTGAAGACCCCAAATGTGCCTTAGTTTTTACTGAGCTCATCAGTATCCCCATTCCTCTGCCCTGTGCGAGGGCGTTTGTGCGTGTCACCATTTCATGGCAAAAGTGATGCTGACACTGGTTTTTGGTAGTTCACCTCACAATACCAAAAGACTTCACATAACTTTTTGCATTTCTTCATGGGATGGCACCATGGCTATTCTCCAGATGAGTAGCCACAGGAAACCCAATGCAATGATAGGGATTGCAATGGAGGGAAACCTTCCAGAGGTTACAAAAATGATTCATTGCAGGGAGAAATGCCCTTTTGGAGGCTTTGGGGAGATTTTGCCAGGTGGCTTTGTGAGTTGGCTCAATATGGAGCTCAGAGCTTCAGAGAAGACTCAGGACAGGATTTTTTTTTTTTTTAAGATTTAAACAAGATTATTGGCTTTTCTTCTGAAGCAACCACACAGCTGCAGTGAAATAATAGGAGAGGAGGCATTTTGGAGTCAAGAGTTGCTTTTCAGTTACATCTGTCACCAGGTCTATCCTTGGGGACAGCATCCAGCCAAGAGCTCCTCTACAAATTTGTCCCTTCCTGGTGCCCTTCTTTTTTCCCCATCTCCTTGGGACCTGAAGATACCAAAAAAAGAGTCTGTTGTTCCTCCAAAGAACTATGCATTTACAGAAAGCAGAGCAACTTCAAGAGTTGTTGAGGGTGACATGTCTCAGACAACCACCTGGGTTCAAGGATGTCCATATGGGATATGGAAAATCAGGGTTCGCTCCCCAGTTCAAATCAAGGCAGATTTTGAACTCTCTTTCCTCATTTCTGTCCATTCAGTTACCATAGCGTTGATCAACTCAATGTAGAATTCAACTGGGTTGGTCAAGTCAATGTAGGAGTCAACTATGTCAGTCAACTCACATTTGATACTCAATCTCCCCCTCTGGACTGAGCGTGCAGTGCTTGAGGATATAACTCCATGGTGGCCAAAGGCAAAGAGACACATCATTTGGTTTTTTTTTTTTAGTGTGTAATTTCAGAAGATTGAAAGTTTTATGACTTGTCTTCTTGCTTCCAAAAAGGAGGAAAAACTGGAAAGGGGATAGAAATCCCCATTTAAGCAGTGTGGTTATAGACATAAATGGTGCAAAGAAAATGCCTTGGGTTCACAAGGAAGAAAATATAACGAGGTTCAGTGATGGCAGCCATCACCTCCAAGAGCTCTTGCCTGGCTGCTCTCCAGGGAACATCTCCTTGCCAGCGACCCTCTTCACTTCTCCCCGATCCATTTCTCATCCAAAAATCACAAATCTCAAATAATCATCAAGTTATGATTAAGGGTCATCACATCATCTTGGGTTTCTTCCAGGGACTGGGTGGTGGAGCACTGTGCTGGGGTGCTCATGTGAGGAACGTCACCTCTCCTTTCTGTCCCCCCCCTTTTTTTTTTTTCCTTTCTGTGGAATTTTTGAGGGAGGAAATTGCCCTTAATCCAGCACCATTTCTCCCACCTGCAGGTTCTCGATGTGACTCCCACCCAGGATGCACCATGTCTCCCCGGCACCGGCTCTGACGATGATGGCCACCCAGACGGTGCCCCCTCCTCCCTACCAAGACACCCCACAGGTGAGTGTCCCCCATCACCCATGAGCTCCTCCAGACCCCTTGTGACCCCCAACTCCTGCACTAATTACCCTGTCTTCCAAAATAATGACTAAGTATTTTACCCCAAAACTAATTTCAGAGACTGACAAAAATTAAATCCCCTCTTGACACAGTCTCCAAGACTGAAGGGTTTTGAGTCAAAATGGTTGTGTTTTTTTTTTTTCCCCTTTCTGCTTATTTTGGGGTCATGGGGTCTTCATGGAAAGCTGACATGGTGGCACATTTGTAGCCAGCAGGTTAATAAGCTGGAAAGATGAAATGTCTAGCTAAACCGGGACAGGTTTAGCCGTAGGAATGGCCTTTTGATTTATTTTAATGGCATTTTTTGGCAACCCGTGGCAAGGGGAAAAAAAGACTTCATCTACAATGTTGCTCTAAGGGGTCGAATAACTTTTCTGAGCATCGTTACGGAGTTATTATAAGAAGAGGAATTTGTCCAAGAGAAACTCTACTGGAGCACCCCAACGGGCTGGACGTGGGGGTTGGGGTTGAATTTCAGAGACAGTCCCGCTCCCCACAGCCCATCCCAAGATTTTTTTTGGGTCAAATCCATATCACATTTCTACTTTCCTGGCTACAGTAACCAAATTGGGATGATCCCGATAGAGTGCTGAACAGGCTCTGTGTTCAAAGCAGCATTTTTTGGGGGTCCATATGGGAAATTTTTAGTTTTTCACCCATTTGCTGCATATCTCATCTGCAGAAGCAGAAAAACCTCCCCTCCTGGGGGAAAAAAAAAAAATCAAGCCTGTTCTCTGCAAGCTAAAATAAATAAATCGAGTTTTACACCCCCCATGAAGCCACCCGGGTCTCCTTTCCGCTCGTCTCCTTCAGTGGGAAAAGGTCACTTCTCACAAACGACACCTCGGTGGGGATTTTATGGCTCCTCCAACTTCTGTGTCATCATTTGCTCGCTTCGCTGCTCTGCTCTGAGAAGGGTTTTTTTCCCAATTTTTTTTTTTCTTCCCGCGTCGAAACACGTCGCCTTTTTTGCTTACGCAGCAGGGAGTCGCGACGCCGTTTTAGTCCTAATGGGCAATTTAAGGGACTTTTAAAATAGCCAAGGTTTTCCACAGCATCCTACGGAGATGTACCCCCTACCTTCCCCATCCCTCTCCCTTATCTGCCCCCTGTTTTAATCTGTTGAATTTTTGGGACACTGAGGAGCATCATTGCCCAAATCCCTATTTTTTTTCTCCTATTGAGGGGTTGGGTTGCTCATGCATTTTCCTTCAGTTTAGTGGGTTTGGAGGAAAAGCTGCAACCAAGAGTTGCTTTTTTTGTCTCAACACTGTGACTGCCTGTAAGCTTTTCACCTGAAAATCTGGGATTTCTAAGGTTTGGAAAAGCAAATTGCAGAAACTTGCTCTCCCCAAAACCAGGGAAGAGGTGGGGAGGGTTGGTGATAAATTAAAAAAATCAGTTATTAGAGCTACAACCAGCTCTTCATCATCAGGGGAACCGTTTTGGGGAGAAAAGTGCTAAAAAGGGGTTTGGGGGAGCTTTGCATTAGTATTTTACTGCAGAGGCTGTGCAAGCGATTACCCTCACTGTCAGAAATGTGCAAAAATGAAGCAGAAATGATGGGAAAAGCTGCCTTTTGGAGGAAAAAGAAATGCTTTAATAATCACCTGGTTCTGCTAAAGGGATGTAATATCATTTATACCGCGTGTGATCGTGCTTGCCGAGCAACTCTACCTGTTGAAAATTAAAGAGTCTGCATAAAAATCTACATAAAAATTATATTTTCCATAGTAAATTAAAAGAAAAAGCCAGGGGAAAGTAATTTCATTGTCAAAATTAGCAAGAAGAGGATGTTTTGAAAATAGGCATTTTTGGCACCGAAAGCAGCTTTGACCCCCCCCAAGTGCTCTTGAGGTGGTTATATCGGGGACAAAAAAGGAAAGTTATGAAAATATATATTTTTTTTAAATTCTAAAAATATTTTTTTTAAAAGTTTCAGATTAAAAATTGGGTGCAGATGTTGATTTTTCAGTAGGATCAATGAAACCCCCCCAACTCCTGGTGTCCTCAGCACGTTTTTGGGCTCAGAACCACTGTTTTCAGCATGTGTGACGGCGGTAGAGAAATTTCACTGTGAAACGCCAAGGACTAGGGTAAATATTGCTGATTTAGGAGATTTTCTTGCCCTGAAGACCTTCACCGTGATTGCTCTCTAGAGTTGATGCATTTGGCCATAGGCTTCAAAAAGACCTAAAGCAAGAGGAATTACCAAGTGTAAACCCGCGGGAAGCCCCCACATTGCCTGATGAGCAGCCGCTAACTCTGGCAAAGGATTTTCTTCCTAAAGAAGTGGGAAAAAAAGAAATACAATATAAAACGGAATATAACGGAAGTGATGCGCATCCTCGAGCAACTGGCACCTCAGAAATCTCTGCTTTACCAGGGAGTCTTCCAAAAACATGGGGATTTTTTTTATTTTCCACATTTTTAAACTTTAAAAAATACTTCTAAACATTCTTTACGTATTTTAAATGTATTTTTAACATATTTGTTACATTTTAAATTGTTTACATATTTTTACATAATTATTTCATATATTTTTAACCTTTTTTTACATTTATTTTACTTTTTTTTTTTTACAAAATCTTTTTGTACATTTTTTTTAATTTACTTTTTTTTTTTTTTCCTCCTGCAGCTATTTTTGGCCATTTTTTGGCAAAAAAAAAAGTGATCTCCTCCTGCCTTTTTTTTTCAATGCCTGCAACTTCCATACCCAAATCCATCCCCTTTTCCCCCATATTTCCCCATTTTCCCACTGCCAAGATGCTCGCACTTCCAAGCCAGAAACCTGCTGCCTTTTTCCTCCTTTCCCATCCCCACCTGCTCCCCATAAAGCCATTTTTGGCTGCATTTTTGCCTTTCTCCCTGCCCAGCATCCCCACTGGGCTGCAAATACTCACATCTGAGCATCCTCTTGCCTCTTTTTCCACCAATTTGGGATTATTTTTATTTATTTTTTATTATTTTCTTTAGTCCAAGGTGAGGTAATGGCTTCGAAACAGCCACAGAGGAGTCTTTTTTTTTGGGTAATAGCCCAATTAGTTGCAGACTTGGCTGGAAAGAGCCAACTTGGCAGGATCTCGGGGCAGGATGCGAAAAGGGCTTTGGTGTCCTTGTAAATGAGTGTGATGAGGGGAAAAAATAAGGAAAAAAAGGGGGGAAATGAGCTATTTTCATTTTTAAAAAGTCATTTTCCAGGAGGATAATATGGAGAAAAAAGGGGAAAAAGAGAAAGAGGATGGGAATATACTCAGTGGCATGGTTGGAGCATCCCAAAAACCTCTTGCATTTTGGTTTTAGATAGAAAATGGGGAAAAAAGGAGAAATCCAAACTGCTGGGATAGGAAAGGGAAGTGAACCCCAATTTTTCACTAATTTATTTAGCACTGGGGAAGGGGAGGGGGAGGGAAATCAAATCCACTTCTGGGTTGGGAGAGTTAGAAATTAAATAGCACCGGGTGAATTTACAGGTGCCAGAGCCAAACTTTGGAGTTATGAACAATAAAGGAGATTAAAAAAAAAAAAAGCGCTGTATCGGCAGCAAAAGGTCAGGCAGGAGATATTAAAGTCAAACATTTTAAAAGCAAAAGGTGTTGCAGTTTTGGCCCAGCTCAGGTTTATGCAGCTTTTACGGGAGGCGAGAAGCTTTTTTACATGGGAAGAAGCTGAGTACAAGTGTGGGTTTGGCTGGAGAAGACTGTGGGCATACATATGTATACACATAGGTATTTTATATATATATGTGTATATGTTTGTGTATACATATGTTTATATATAAATAATCGCAGAAATAAAACCAGAAATCTATTAGACAAATATATATATTTTATCTCTATACAAATAAACACAAATAAATATAGAAGTATACCAGACAAATAAATTATATAGCGATATTTTATTTATATGCAAAGGAAGTTAATATATAAGTATGTTAGACAAACAAATAAATTTTATATATATATATATATAATAGTTAGCAAGAGGCAGAGCCTTCCTTTTGCTACCCAGCTCAAGGGAGTATTGAAGATTTACTGGTGAAAACAAGCAAATGCTAATTTTTTGCAGCATTTCAACACCAAAGCAGGCAAAAGACCCACTTTGCGTTAATTTTCCACTGAGATTTTGAGCTAAAACCACCAGATTTGTGGGGTTGCTGTTGCATTTGAACCCAAATTGATTAAAATTCTCCCTGAATTGCTTTTTTTTAACGAAATCTTGTGAAGATAGTGATGTGTCGTGCTGTGTATGTCGTACCTGTCTGCAGCCCCGCAGTAAATAATTCCAATTTCTTTAATGCAATTGTTAATTTTCAGTGGAAATTGCCCCTCAATACATGCAATCCGGTGCATGTTGTGGTGGCAGTTTTGGGGGTGGCATTGGAAGGACGTGCAGTGATTTGCATGTGCACTGGCACGCATGCATTTCATCTTCAGTACGTATATTTAACTAAAATAATTGCAATTTTTAAAAAAGCAAAGTCTTAGTTAGCAGGATGATTTATCCCATAGCAGATGTAATTTTGCCTGTACATTTCCAGCCCTGCAGCACTGCAATTCCCGCTGCACTGGGGCTAAAGATGGGTGATTTGGGCACGGAAAAAAAAAAAAAAAGCTTGACTTTTTTTTTTTTTTTTTTTTT